ACACAGTGGCTGAAACTCTAGGCTGAAATATAAGAACAATTCTGAGGGTGGTGTGGAACTGAGCAGTCTCTGGTTTTGTGGTCCATAGGGTTGCTTTGAGCCAAAACAGACTACGTGGCACTATCAACACCTGTGTAGTCTCCCGTCTCTGCTAAGGATATCAGTCATTGAATTTAGGATAGACTCAAATCCAAGATAACCTCATCTTGAAATTACTACTTTAATGACGCTCCAAAGACCCTTATTCAAAATAAAGTCACATTCTAAGATTCCAGGCAGATATAACTGTGGTGAGAGGTGCTGTTCAACGTATGACAGAGAGCAAGTGCACAAAGACTGTTAGTCTATCAGACTCTCAGCCACCCAAAATGAGACACCAGCCAATCTATAGAAATTTGAAAAATACTAAGTTATTGACACTTTAGGCCACTCAGTTTGGCTCCTCAGTAGAGGTAAGAGGCTAGCTCCTTGGAAACACGATAAGAGGCTGCTATGAGTCAGGTCTACTCCGGGACAGTGGGTTTGGGTTGGTTGTGCAGCACTCAGGGAGTCAGTTCCGACTTACGGACACCCTAGCGGACAGAGTAGAATCGCTACTGTGGGTTTCCAAGACCATAAAGGTTTACAGAAGTGGAAAGCCTTATCTTTATCCTTCAAAGGGACTGGTGGCTTCAAACTGCTGCTAAACCTTGTTTTTAGCAGCTCCTTAGGCACTACAGCATGATTTTCACCCTTAATCGAATGTTTCTACTGACATTGCATAGATAACACATGATGTGCAGAAGGATGTTACTGTCCTGTTGAATATCTTTGAGTTTACTAAACAAACATCTGCTTCCTTGTAATTCCTTATAATCCAGTTTACTTGGCACTAATCTGCCTTCAAAGAAACCAAAAATATCTGCTCCCTCTTTCAAATAAAAACAAAACAAACCCACTGTCATCTACTTGATTCCAACTCATAGTAACCTTGTCCAAAGCTGTAAATCTTTACAGGAGCAGGAGAGCCTCATCTTTTTTCCTTGGAGCCCCTAGTGGATTTGAACTTCTCACCTTGGGGTAGGTGGTCTAACATTTACCCTACAGTTATACCACCTTTTCAAATGTTTAAGGGCCAATTGTGAAATGAAGTCTCTTCTCTTAACAAACATGCTTACAAATAATTCAGAACTAGAAGGACACACTGGATACTGAATAGTGGTATTTTGCCTCAGATACCGTGAGCGTCTTGGAGGCAAAGATCCTCATGTTTCGTTTTTATTTTTTGAACCCATATCCTAATCTCTCATTGAAGGTGTGCATCTCAACTGTGTTACACACTTTTTTCATTCTTTTTATACAAATATATTTATTCAAAATATTTGTGAACTTTTGAACCATTAAATTTTGAAGCCCCCTCCTGTGTATAGCTCCCCTTCACCCCCGCCCACCATTAAACACATCACTCACTTTAAACAGTGGTTCTCGGCAGTGGCGTCAGCTAGACTCATGGGTGGAAGGAAGTGTTCACTTCTCAGGAGATTACAATATACTCCTTGATTGTAAATTGGAAAGCGCTTAGCTTTTATGGAACTGAATTAACAATGTGCTCAGCATGGGAATTAGCAGACTCCACAAAGGAAATGACATTTATGATATATCTGTAAAAGCAAAAATAAATATTTATCAGGTGACAAGTGGGGGAAGGGCATGCCAGACAGGAGAATACGATGTATGAAGGCAAGTCTTCTATGCATCTAATGTGCGTGCTTTGTAACAGGAACCGATTTTCTTTCTACACAACTTAACAGACTTCTCTACGGAAATTTGTGAAATTTACCTTGGAGGTGCTAAAGTTTACAGAAAAGTCATTGAAATAGGTGTCATGGATTTTTGTTTGTTTGTTTGTTTTTTCTTTTTCTCAAAAATATTCTTATTTTCAAAAATCTATCTGAAAAAATGGCCTAGTCATTGCTATCTAAATCTCATTCTTCAAAGCAAATGCCACACAGACAACAGCCTATGGTGATTGTTTGATTGGTCTCCATTGTCAAATAGTTTCAGTAACTCTTAAATCATGTTGACGTTATGAAATATAATCTTTGATTTTGCCATACATGTTAATTAGTCTCTGACGAAAGTGCTGAAATCCATTACAATTGAATACTAGAACAAGAGTCTCATACTACAAAATTTTGAAATTTGCTTATAGCACATACATACCACTCTCAAATGATTATACACTGTAAATAAGTTTTTAAAAGTTAAAATGCTTCTAAAATTTTCTTCAGTGGAGCAGGTTGAATATCTCCCCACACATAATAGGATTAATCTTAAAGCATCATCTTCTATAAGCAGGTGCAACACCTTGTCTGCCCTCAGGGGAAAAAACAGCCAATGAAAGTCTATGCTGGTGATGTAATGCTTCTTAATTTACTATCTTACAGAAGTGATTGAGGGAGGTGTTTTTCATAGCATCAAACATGAATTGAAATTAACTTTCTCACATGACTAATTTTAGTCACCTCTGATAGTTCATAAACACATTGCTTGGGACAGCCCTGAAATAGTTATGTAAAACTTTAGACTAAATTTCCTTTGTGCATTGACATCAATCCCTACCCTCATTTGCCAATGATAATTCCCCACTTTTCATGAGAAATCATTTCTATATCTCAGGCATCTGTAAACAAAGAATACATTTAAATTAGTCAGCCACAGATAAATTTCTATTTCATTCACAGACATTCAATCCATGAAAATCAAATAAAAAAAGAGTAGATACCTTTTAAATTTAAATTTATGTACTATATATAATATTTATATATTATATTAAAAATATCAAAGTGTGAATCTCCTCTTTCTTGGAATATCTTCCATCTAGGTCTATCCACTTTTTAAAAATAGTTTTGTTGACATACAATAATATACCATCCAATTCCATGGCTTAAATGTATTAAAAAGAGTTGGGCAGTCATCACCATAATCAATTTTAGAACATTTTCTTCATTCTGTTCTCATTATTATTAGCACCTCACTTCCCTCCAGCCTCCCCTGTTGTAACCCTAAGCAATTTAATCTAGTTACAGTCTCTAGAGAGTTACATATCTTGGATTTCATAGAGAAAAAACACACTCCAAAAAAGCATTAACAATCCAGTAAAACACAGAAAAGCTGAAATCCAATAAGAAAAACTAGAACAAACTGAAAATAAGTCAAAAGGAAAAACAAATGCTCAAATGTTAAATTTTAGCCTACCTATATCTGCAGTAGGAGCCCATGTGGTTCAGTGGACCACTAACCACAAGGCCTGCATCTCAAACCTACCAGCCGCTCTGCAGGAGAAAGACGAGGCTGCCCACTCCTGCAAAGATTTACAGCCTCAAAAATCTTAAGGGACAGTGCACCTCAACCCTATGGGGTTGCTAAGAGTCAGATTTTACTTTATGGCAATGAGTGTGTGTTTAATGTCTGCAGGAATATACTGTCCAATGCACTCTGTCTGAGCGTAGGACTAGTCACATCCCTGGTAAAGGGTCTGAGGGAATACAGTGGAGGCTTAATCCATGTGGGGACTCTACAAATGGATTTTGGAATTTCAGTCATCCATGCCTTTTGAAAACAGAGTGCTCAGGATTTAAACTCTAATACAATTCCTTCTTCTCATCTTGGATTTTATTATTTATGATCCTTATATCACATGGGCTGGTATGCTCTTTCCAGGTGGGTTTAACTGACAGCTCACATTGGTGGCTGCTTGTTTTAAGAGAAGCCTTTATGTAGGTCTATACATTTCTGAAGGCAGTCTTTCTATCCCTCTAGCCCTTTCCCCAACAAATTCTGTGCTCTTGGATTTACACCACATCAAAATGGAAGTCTTTTCATTTCCAAGAGACTCAAATAATGTTCCTTTTAAATGGTCTTTGAGTTATGTGAATAAAAAAGTGTCTGAAAGGGAAATATCAGAGCTGTAAGAGTAAGGTTTCCCAACTAAAAACTTACATAACTGTTCTTGATAAGCTCAAAGAATGAGTAAGTACATTGTTTTGATCTAAAAATAATCCTGCGGATAATTGTCCTGGTCTTTTTCTTACCCATTCATCTTTTTATTTTCTTAGAGCATCTTTATTTAAGCCCCTGTGAATTTGCTGTGCCCTTTGGGAAAAAATCTATCAAAGTTCCCTCTTTAGGATTAAGACGGGGGAAAGCCACTATGACCTTCCGCGTCGACTTCTCTGCTGCAGGGTGCCTCACTGGGCCTGCCTGGACCCTTGGACACCACTGTTTGCTCAAACCTTTTCTGCAGAGACCCTGTTGACACTGAGCCAAGTGTATCGCTGAGAGAACTTGCTTGCAGCATTGCAAAGACACGTTGGAACACATTTGTAAAATAAACCCATCCATATATGAGCTGGACCTCCAGTAGCAATACTTTCTGACTCACCCTCACATGCTGAGGGAATAAGAAGCTCTCATAACGTTTATTGTTTCATTCTTTTGTACAGAGGATCAGTCACTATGAGTCAGCACGGGCCCCATGGCAGCCGACAACAATATCTATGTTCTCATGGTTCAATGTTTTCATTTGATTTGAAATGGAATGTTTGTCCATGCAAAAATGATGCTATTCATATCAGGAATGTTCCCATTTAAAGCATGGCTTGTGCTGAACTATCTATACTCTATGGCCTGTCTACAATATGCACTTTAGAAGTCGCTAACTGGAATTATGGATGATTGGATCGATCACTGGTGAAAGCTTTTCATAATGTAAAACTAACTGAGCTTCATGAAATTGAACTCATAGTCCTGACTCATTGTGTTTTAGCCCCCTTAGCTATAATACATGGACGTGTTGAAGTAACTGTGTCTATATGTGTGCATTGCCTTCTTAGCTCTAAGAAGGATTGGAGCTTATTGAAATGATATGTATAATGCCTAATAATCCAGTATATTCCTTTGAAGTATGAACTGCTCCAGTAAATGTAAACACCAAGGTTGTTTTCTGTTTCCTCCATCAGCTGTTAGGAAGAAGGCTAGCTTTATCACTCCCGTTCCAGGAGGCGTGGGGCCGATGACAGTTGCGATGCTTCTGAAGAACACCCTTCTGGCAGCTACGAAAAGCGTTTACTAGAACACATGAAGTAACAGTGAACTGAAGTCATGCCATTTATTTATTGGATGAAGGAGAGAAACCTTTCTATTTTGCTACAAAGTTATTTATTTCTACATTATATTTATTTTTTTTCATGGAAGAAATAACTGTGTATTTTGTGTTTTAGGATTAAACAAAAGCTTTTCAATGAAAATGTGGGTAGCATTTATTATTTGGAGACTAATCGTGCACAATGTTGAAACAAGAAAGTGCTCGTGATCATTTCTGAATGTTCAGACACAGAGTCACAGAGTTTGTTTTCAACAAATGTCTTGTCAGGCAAATTGCCAACCGTGTAAAATGAGCTTCTGATTTGCCGGAAGCTCACTCAATTTCAATACATTTTATGTGATATGTAATGTGGTTTTAAAAACTTACTTGAAAAAAGAAGGGTAGAATATTAAAAGCAAAATCTTGATCTCATACATCATAATGGAAATGACACTTTATTCCAGGAGAGGAAACTCTGAGGAATCCAGTGCTACCCGGAAAGGTAACGATTATGTCCAGTGAACTGACGACTTGCTTTCATCAGAGCATAGGAAGCATGTCGTTCTTTTCTTTGAAAAAATTATTTTGACATTCATTGAGTAGATTGATTGAGGAAAAAAGATAGGAAGTCCGTAACTAACTAAATAAATAAATAAAAGAAATACTATAACACAACAAAAACTATAATTGTGTTTTCCTGCTAATAGCAGAAAGTGACCGTGTGAAGTACTAAGTACTAAGCAACCATTAAAGTACAGGAATTACTTATTTAAAAATTAAGAACTATAAGAGTAATTTCAAGACTAAGCCTGAGGTTAGGATTCAAAGTCTCCTCCTTGGTTGCCTACAACGTTTCTTTTTTGTGCATGGCATTTGGTTCCCAGGACAGATGGAATGTTTCTAAACCCAATTTTAAATTGGGAAATACATGTGAATGTCAGCTGAAGGCTAATTTTGTAGTTTTTGTAGCCATTTAATGAACATTTTTTATACCCCAATCCCTGTATAAATCTGTGCCAATAATGGTTCTTACACAATGCATCTGTCTTTATCAGTGTGTGCTCTTGATGATTTGTGTGAAAATAGACTGATATTTTTAGTTAATATCATTTTACTCACATAATAAAGTAGTTTACCATACAATTTTCCTCTAGTTCTTGAGTGCTTCCCCCACCCCACTATCATGATCCCAATTCTACCTTACAAATCTGGCTGCACCAGAAGATGTACACTGGTACAGGTGGGAACTGGAACATAGGGAACCCAGGACAGATGAACCCCTGGGGACCAGTGGTGAGAGTGGCGATACCAGGAAGGTGAGGGATAAAGGGGGAACAAACTACAAGGATCTATATATAACCTTCTCCCTGAGGGATGGACAGCTGAGAAGTGGGTGAAAGGAGACATTGGACGGTGTAAGATATGACAAAATAATAATAATTTATAAATTATCAAGGGTTCATGGGGGTGAGGAGCAGGGAGAGAGGGAGGGGAAAAATGAGGAGCTGATACCAAGGGCTCAAGTAGAAAGCAAATGTTTTGGGAATGATGAGAGAAACAAATGTACAAAAGTGCTTGACACAATGAATGTATGTGTGTATTGTGATGAGTTGTACAAGTCCCCAATAAAATGATTTAATTATTAAAAATAAATAAATAAAAGTAGTTTACAAAGGAATAGCTGTCTCCTGTTTCATTAGATAGCTGTTTCCTTCTTCACATATCTGTTAACTTTATTTCTTTATCTTGAAAAAGGGCCCTGAAGAATCAATAGAGGCTGAAAAATAATTTTAAAATATGAAGGTAAGAGCAAACTTAATATATATGTATGTATGTATGTATGTATGTATCAAAGCAAGAGTTGCAGTCAGACTAAATGACAAGCGCATATTGGAGAATGATGGCTTATAAAGCTTCTTAAATACTTGAAAATCCACTACTTTTATTCTGTGGTGGCCCAGCTGCCTCACATGCATGTAAAGTTGGACATTGAATAAGGAAGACTGAAGAAGAATAGATACATTTGAATACTGAAAGTCACATGGACTGCCAAAAGAACAAACAAAGCTGTCTTGGAATAAGTGGAGCCAGACGACTTCCCCTTAGGGACTTTGCACGTGTTGTCAGGAGAGACCAGTACCTGGAGAAGGACATCATGCTCGGTAAAGTAGTGAGGGTAGTGGAAAAGGAAGACCTTCAACAAGATGGCCTGACACAGTATCTGTATCGATGAGCTCAAACATACGAACAGTTGTGCGGATGGCACAGGACCGGGCAGTGTTGCATCATGTTGTATGTAGGGTTGCTATGAGCCAGAACCTACTTGATGGCAACTAACAACAACAACAACAACAAATACATGAAAGCAGATTAGGGAAGACCTGAATGAATCAGGAAGAATTTAGAATGTGTTTAGTAAGATGGTCACATTATAGTTAGAGGTTTGAAGATGTTATCATTGATGAGAATGGGGAAACTCGAATAGTATTGGTTTTGGAGAAAAGATTATGTTTGATTTATGACTTGTTGAGTTTAAGAGGATGACATAGAAGTAAGAACTCTGGAGTAATACCTCGGAAGAAGATAAGAATCCATGGCTAGTGATGTAAATTTAGGCCTCATCAGCATATCCGAACAAGTAAATTGCTCACCCATTCATTGACCGTTACCCACACCCTCTGTCTTCCTATACTTGTTCAATATAGCAGCTATCATTAATTAAACACCTAAAATTGGTAAACCAGTTGCCATCAAGCCAATTCTGACTCATACAACCCATGCGTGTCAGAGCAGAAATGAGCTCACTAGGGTTCAATGGCTAGTTGGTGGTTTTAAAAAAATTATTATTTTTTTATTAATCATCTTATTGAGGGTTTCAGGCCTTTTGTCTGAGGCACCTCTGAGTAGATGGAAAACTCCAACCTTTCAATTTGCAGCTAAGAGTATATTAACCATCTGCACATACATCATATGCTAAAAAGATCTTTCTTTTTCTTTCTCTCTTTTTTTTTGGCCTTTGCCTCTTACTGACAATCTCCATTTGGTAGATAAGGAAATTGACCCTCAGGATTAGTAAAAGCCTCAGCCTAGGTCAAGTGGATAGTAAAGATACAAATAAAATTCAAACCAGATTCTGCTGAAATTATGTGACTCAGCTCACGACCTTTTCATGGCACCTCTTTACCTCATCTCCATGCCCTCTGCTCTAGAATTCTTTCACTTACCACCGCATGTCTAAGTCCTACTCATTCTTGATGATTCCCTTCAAAGGAAACTTGTCCATGAAAAATGTCGTGACTGTAGGAGCCCCACCCCAAAGTCTCATAGCAATTTATGCACACATTTATGACATAAGCACTCCCTACCTAGCACTGTAGTTATGTGTACACTTTCCCTTCCCTGAAGTTCCTTAAGGGCAAAATGATTCATCCTGCAAACATTATTCATTACACCCTGCCCAACATCGTGAATGTAATAGGCATTCAATAGTTTATGAATGAAAGAAAGGAAACTGAATCCATGAGAATTTTAGAATGAATTTAGAGAGAGCAGCTAAGCAGTGGACAGATGACCACTTTGTGTACAATGTCCAGCCATACATATTGGTAAAACAAAGGAAAATCAAAAGAGGGGGGGAAATAAGTGAAAGAAGGAAAGAAAATAAAGGAGGAGAAAAGAGAAGAGGAAATAGAGGAAAAAGCAGTCGAGCTGTTTATTACTAGAGGAGAGGGATGAGTAGATGACAAAGAGACAAAAATAACAGGGCAGACTGTGGTGGTGGAGTGCCACATTACTCACAAATCTCATCGGCCCTTTCTCACACTGGCCTGTCTTAATGTTCCTCAGGAGCTGAGTAACTATCAAGTGAAAACCAATACTCAGCTCTCCAGATTCTTCCGAAGGTCTCTTGATGAGATGCTTGAAGAGGGGCAGGTACCAGACTGCCTCTTTTACTTCCCTCTTCTTCCTTCACAGTGGTGCAGTTGTTCCTGTATAAAGAGTTCAGTGGGATTCATCCATAGACGTTCCAAAGAAAAGAAGCATGTGGATTGTGTAGAGCTGTTTTCTGGGATTGACACATTTAACTAGAGTGAGATGTAGATTTATATATTACCTGGCGCAATTTATCAGGGTAGGGAAACATCTATAATCCTGGTTAAAAAATAAGAAGATTAAAATATGTTCCATAACTCCTGGGAAACTTTAACATGATGGGAATTGGCTAGATAGTGTTTAGGTGCAATAGAAATGAGCCATGGAGATTCCAGTATCTGAAATCACTACTAATGGAAAAATTAACTAGTGGAGAATATTAAGGTGTTTCTTTTCACAGTGCCATATGTTTAAAAAAGTGTCAAGGAAACAGAAAAAAGAATGCTGGCCTTGGTCTTGAGACTTTTGGTGACCTTTGAGGGAATGGTTTGAGTAGTGAGAAGTATGATTATATATAATGATTATAGGGAGTTGTTGAAGAAAGAAAGGTGTGGAAGACAAGCATTTAATTTAAGTGTGAAGAATTTGAGTATTGGACAGCAAAAATGAGAAAATGAAGAGTTAAAAACAAATGTGGCTCTTTTATTTTTTTTGTCTGCTATAAGACTCTTGGTGATGTAGTGGTTACATATTGGGCTTTGATCTGCAGGGTCAGCAGTTCAAAACCACTGAGAGCTCCAACGGAGAAAGACTGGGCTTTTTACTCTCATAAGTAGTTACAGTCTCAAAAACCTACAGGAGTTTGCTATGAATCAGCACTGAGTTTGGATTTGCTCTGGGTCTGGGTGACTTAGTGGGTTACATACGAGGCTGCTCATTGCAAGGTCAACAGTTTGAAACCACCAGCTCTCCTTGGGAGAAACATAAGATTTTTTATTCCCTTAAAGAATTTACAGTCTTGGAACTCCCTGGGGGCAATTCTACTGTTTCATGGGGTTGCTATGAGTCAGAATTGACTTACTGGCAATAATTTCGGTTGAGGTTTGCGTAGTATAGATGTAGATAGAGAGATTTATGGACGTTGACATAGGATGGTAGAAGACTGCTGCCCAGTTGGATTAGGCAGCCTGCAATATACAAAAGCAGTTAAAAATAGCGGCTTTGATTTCAAAAAGTTGCTTACAATCTAGATGAGGAAAGAACTAAAATACATTTGATTACAGTTAAGCTATAGTGCCTCCTAAAGAAAAGCCCCCAACCTACTGCTCATAAGCCAGCTATGACTCAGCAACCCTACCCGGATTTCCGGATGAGGCAGCAGGTCTTTATGTGGTAGCCTTACCTTCCTTTCGGTGAGCACCTGGTAGGTTCGAACCACTGACCTTACAGTATGCCAGCCAATGCTTCATCAATAGTGCCACCTACTCAAAGGAGTCAGAAAAAAAAAGAAGACCAAAGAAGAGTGGGAAGTGGAAAGTAAGAATGGAATCAAAGAAGACAGGAAAATGAGAGCGTGGTGCCACTGAAGGCTCTCCTAGAGACTTTAAGATGTTGTCATTGGTGAAAATGAAGAAGTTATAAAAGCTGATTCTGGATAAGAGATCATATGTTCAATTTAGGACATATTGAGTTTCATCTGATGACATTATATTAAATGAAAGTTAAATCTGCTCGAGAGAAATGTTGGGGAAGGGGAGGCCATTACTTAGAATAGATATTCTTTAGGGAAGGTTGAAATGCAGTTTATAGAGGATTGTAAACATCCTATGTTTTTAATGAGAGTCAACTTTGCCTTAGTATTTTTTCTGTTGTTTTTCATTCAAATTTCAAGTAGATATGAATGCTGGGTATTTCATATAATGTCCAGTTACTTCTTTAATACTCTGTTCTGATTACTTCATATTATAATAATTCTAAATTTGTATTAATTTCATGTAGAATATAAACTAAGGTAAAATGTACATATTGAACCCAATTGTAACTATATATAATTTCTATCAACTAACTTTTGTGGTGCTTTAAATTGTGTTTACTTAGGAAAAATACACTTGACCAAAAACAAACAAACAAAAGTTGTCTGTGTAGCTGCTGAAGTGGTTCTTTGACATCAATTTTAGAAGATTTAGAAAGGCACAAATGGGAACCTCCTAATTCGAATCTCCTGGGAGATGTTTCACTGAATAGTACATGAAGCAACTATTCAGAATTGAGATCGGTTGTCTGATCATCTGACTAGCAAGTAATAAATAAATCTACCCTGCCTTTGAGCTATTTTGATTCATAAAGATGCTATAAGACAGAATAGAACTGCTCCTAGGCTTACAAAACTAAATCTTTCATGAAGAAAGCCTCATCTTTCTCCCAAGGTATGACTTAGTAGGTTTGAACTGCTGACTTCCAGTTAACAGTTCACTGCTTAACCAGGGTCCCTTAGTTAACAAGACAAGTGAGCAAATTTTCCTTCATTAACCACATAGAACATGATCTTATGACAGCTCAACTCTCCTCAGCTTCAAAAAATTGAAACTTCCTGGTAAGAACTAGTGGTGTAGTAGTTACATGTTGAGCTGTTAACCAAAAGGAAAGTAGTTCAAAACCAC